AAGACGGGAAGTGCATAAAGCCACGTAAGTGACGCCGTGCCCTCGCTAAACTGCCCTGAGGTTATGGCGCAGAAGCAAGCAGAGCTGAAGTTGTAGAAAAACCTCTGTTTTCCTACCTCAGGCAAGGCATGACATCATGGGAAACTAGGATTAATCCTGTCGCTTAACAGGCACGCTCGACTAGTGTGAGTGGGTACAAGGAAGCGAGACTGAGTGGAACCACTGCCGAATGAAGTGTGTCGCTGTTTTTCTTCGGGATGCCTTCTCTTCTGCCCCTCTCTCTCACGGCATTTGGGATGAGTAAGGGAACGTGACCTCACAAGAGGTCACTATGTCATGAGAGAGGCAAACTGGGCTTGCAGCTGCTTTGCTTTGCCAGGGCAGCTGAAGGGCAGCAGCAGGCCTGTGATTTGTGACTGGAAGGTTGGGCTTGGGGTTGTGCAAGGGGAGAGGGCTGTTCCTGTTCCTCTGCATGCCGAGACCTTCCTCTGTATGCCTCTACTTGCTGAAGTGGCTAGAAGGCTCCTAGGAGGCTCATATGCATTTATATGCACTGCTGAAACATCACCTCTCCACATGGAAGTTGTCTGGCATCTGGCGGGGTCTTTTCTGTGATCAGTGCGTTCACAGGTGTCTGTCACACAACACTGATTTAAGTACAGAGCATTTCTTCACATATTTCAACAGAGCAGAGGGCGTTTACTGAATTTTAACTCCATGGAAAGCTTTGGAAGAATCTGATTCCTTACTGGTAAACTCACCTGGGTAAAGAAAAGACCAAGGGGGAGCGTCTAGTCCTTTAAAAACTCAGCTTTTCAAAATTCCTCAATTTTTCATTATTATCTGTCTTGCTCGGAAATCCCTGTAAAATACTGTGTTGTCCTCAAAGGATAAATCCTGCAAGTTTGGGGTGCATGTGCTATTCACAGAAAACGAGGAGCCCGAGCTGCAGAATTTCCCGGGGACTGTTGGGTGTGATTGCCGCTCTGACCCCAGGGGATGGCCACCAGGAGAAAGCCACGGCTCCAGTGCCGCTTCTCTAGAGCGTTGCGTGGTCCTTCACCACCTTTTACGGCCAGATGTCTGCAGGACTTCTGTCCCAGAGGCAATCTGCTCCCAGGCTAACCAAGCTCTCTGTGGCCGTGGAGTTTCTGAAACGCAGCTTGGGTGAGGAGTGAAGGAGATCGGGATACGGGCTCAACAGCTCTCCTTGCTGACTCTCGGAGCGAAGAAGAAGGGATGGTTTTCCTCTACGCTCACCTTTCTGTTCTCATCAGCCCTGCCGTATGGGGCATCCACAGCACAGGTGTAGTTTGAATGAAACCTGGTTTTCCGCCCGAGAACAGAAAGTCAGCCCTTTCATCTATTCAGTGGTGCCACACACCGGGGCGACATGCGCGCCCAGCAAGGGAGTGAGTGGGTGGGCTTCAGGGGCTGGGAAGAGGAGGGGTCTTTATTTTCTAGAAAAGTCATTAGAAGTTATTTCCACGGTGGGTACCTCCCCCACAGCCTGGTTACGGAGAGCGTTCGGCACAGAAACGGGACAGAACTGAATTTTCATTTTTGCTTTGCAGTTCACCTTTAAAGTGAAAGGGGACTTTTGCGGGGCTGAATGACTCCTCGTGGACTTTGGTTCCTTCAGGCTTGCAGCACTCAGGTTGCAGTTTCAAGGGTGCAGAGCCTTTTAAGGGTAGATGTGACATCAGCAGGAGTTTCCAGCCCCAGCACATGTACGGCCAAGTAGGTTTTTGTTCTCCTTTTGGTTGCAAAGGAGACTCTTAGGGGCAAGGCACGGAGAACCTCATGCAACTCATGATGCCCTGTCACCCTGACATTTACTGTACGCCTACTCTTCCCCTGTCTCTGCAAAAGAAAATCGAAGTTTTCCTTTACCAGGCTCCACAATCCCGAAATTTGACTGGCTGCTCTTGTCTCTCCAGCGGTAGTAAGAGCTGGACTGTGAGAACAAGCGAAGACGTGGTTGAGGGAGAGAACACACGCACAAATACGTGCAGACACACAGGAGGAGGAACTTCAAGAATCACAGGCTGAAGTGGGCTGCTTTTAAGGTGACCAGAAGGAAATGCTTTTTCACACAGTATGTAATCAAACCCCGTAACTCATCATCACAGGATGTTGTGGAAGCCAAAAATATATGTGCATTCCCGAAGGGGAAAGAACTACTGCTGAAGGGTAGGTCGAGCAGTAGCAGTTAAACTGCTGATGCCAAGAAGTCCTTAAATTCCTGGCTGGCAGTGGTTGGCAGGGTATGGCCGTTCTTGTCCTGTGGGGTGTGGAACAACTGTTTTTTCATAGAATCACAGAATGGTTTGGGTTGGAAGGGACCTTAAAGACCATCCAGTTCCAACCCCCCTGCCATGGGCAGGGACACCTTCCACTAGACCAGGTTGCTCCAAGCCTCATCCAGCCTGGCCTTGACCTCTTCCAGGGATGGGGCATCCACAGCTTCTCTGGGCAACCTCTTCCAGTGCCTCACCACCCTCTCCGGGAAGAACTTCTTCCTGATGCCCAATCTAAACCTCCCCACTTTCAATTTAAACCCATTCCCCCTTGTCCTGTCACTACAGGCCCTTGTAAAAAGTCCCCCCCAGCTTCCTTGTAGCCCCTTCAGGTACTGGAAGGTGCTATAAGGTCTCCCTGGAGCCTTCTCTTCTCCAGGCTGAACAAGCCCAACTCCCTCAGCCTGTCCCCATAGCAGAGGGGCCCCAGCCCTCTGAGCATCTACCAGTTTGCTGGCAGTTGCTGGCTGACACAGGCCAGTGGGCTGAGTGGGCTCCCCGTCGGCCCCAGCCGTGTTGCTCAGATTCTGTGATGCATTGTAAGGGGAAGTACAGGTAGTGGCTGGAAAAAAAATGTGTTTGACTCCTTCCTTTTGGAAGACTACTGCAGTGGCTGAGTGGAGGGAACCCAGTTCAATGAGAAGTTGCTCATTTAGTTACAAATTCTATTTCATTTAATTAATGTTCAAACACTGAATAATGTTGCCAGGACCTCCTCAGTATTTTTCAGTGTGTTTCCAACAGATGTGATATAAAGCGCGCAAGCGGGACAGGGGTAGGTGTGCCGTGGGGGAGGGGGTGAAAGCCTATTTCACGTGCTGTCCCAGGCTCTCCGCCTGGGCTGAACTTCAGCCAGCGGCCCCCGCTGCTGCCCGAGGTCTGTCTGTGCCGGGCACTGGCTGAGCAGCCACTTGTCTCCCTCCAGCACCGACAGCTGGGGCATCACACAGCCCTTCACCAGGGCGTGCAGGTCAGCATGCCGCAGGGGCGTCGCTGCCAGGCTGCGTGATGGCATCCCACGGGTCCGTCAGTCACCGCTAAGCCAACGAGCCCCAGCGGGCAAGGAGCCTGCGGCTGTGGCGGAGACTTCAGCTGAGGCTGTGCCCGCGTGCGGCACGGCTGCGGTGAGGCGTTAGCAGTGACGGTAACGTGTGAGCCAGCACCAGCCAGACTTTGCTGATGATTTGAATCTTCTCTGTCCAGAGGCTGGCTATTTCCTTGTTTTTCTGCTCTGAGTCAATGGCATGGAACAAACTGGTGTCCCCCTTCCACTACTGGAGATGGGTGCTGAGGCAGCGAAGCTGAGGCCAGCAGGGCAAACACAAAACAACCCAACCTTCTGGACTAACGAAGTGGGATACGCAGGGATAAGCATCATCCTGAAGGTTGCACAAACCCAGGCGAAAGCCCAACCGTCTGCCCTGGCCTTGGTGCAGCACAGGACCACGCGGCAGCACCAGGCCACTCTCCCAGCAGCGGCAGGAGTTCCTTGCCAGGCTGCTCCCTCCCATGCCAGGTCCTGGTCCCTGCGAGCACCTGTCCACTGGGAAGAGGAGGGAGATTGGGAGAGCAGGGCTGATCACGGGAGCGGCACACGTAGAAGTCGTGGTGCGAAGCAGGGGGATTACTGCCAACCTGGCCAAAGTCATAGAATCATAGAATCATAGAATCACTAGGTTGGAAAAGACCTTAGAGATCATCCAGTCCAACCGTATCTGTCCAGCACTAAACCATATCTTTCAGCACCTCATCCACCCGTCTCTTAAACACATCCAGGGACGGTGACTCCACCACCTCCCTGGGCAGCCTGTTCCAGTGTGTGATAACCTTTTGGGTGAAGAACTTCTTCCTTACATCCAATCTAAACCTCCCCTGGCGCAGCTTGAGTCCATTCCCCCTCGTCCGATCATCTGTCATTAGGGAGAAGAGACCAACACCCACTTCTCCACAACCTCCTTTCAGGGAGTTGTAGGCAGTGATCAGGTCTCCTCTCAGCCTCCTCTTCTCAAGGCTAAACAAGCCCAGTTCCCTCAGTCGCTCCTCATAAGACATATTCTCCAGACCCTTCACCAGTTTTGGTGGTCACGCCCAAGTTGCCCCTTGCGAGGGCCCGTCTTGTCGTTGGAGGCACGTGTCTGTATACTAGGCATGACACAGGCAGGGGCAGGAGTTGGAGAAGGTCTGTGCTGGTTTGCAAGTAACCCCAAGGGAGGCCCGTGGGCCCTCGCAAATACAAATCTGTTTTAGCTAGACTAGGCAAAATTGTTCATTTGCTAATACTAGGGGGCTGGTGGCGGTGTGGCTGTAACCTGTGTTTATCATTGTAGGGCTGCTTCTAGCTTCTGGGATCTTTAAAGGCTTTTCTTGGGATCTTGAAGGGGTTTTTTTTGTTGTTTTAAAAAAACCCCAAAAAACAACCTTCCAAAAAAACCCCCAAACCCCCAAACTAACAGTACACCGAGGCCCTGTTTGGCATGCAGGGAACCCACCAGAAGGTGACACAGACCTTCCAAATGCTGAGCTCTGACAAGGGAGAGCGGAGAATACAGCAGCTTGGGCGTGTTTGATTTCATCCCTTTCTACGAGTAATGGCAATTCCTTACTCTGAGGTGTGGGCTCTGTTAAGGGGCCAGCGAAATTTCGCCCTGGCAAGAGGCTATACCACTGTCTCACTGCCTTTTGTTTGCCTCCCCGCTACAGGCTCCGCACTGGAGAAGAAAGTAGTCAAAAGCAAAGCTGGGGAAGAAGTCAGCCTGCCTTGCTGTCATGAAATCCCCAGCTCCGAAAGCCTGCATAATTACCGGGTCTACTGGCAGAAGAACACCACGGAGGTAGTGCTTGCCTACGCAGCGGGGACGATGATCTCCCAGCACAAGCGGTACGAGAACCGCACGGAGATGGACAGCAGGAACCTCAGCCTGCGGATCTCCCCCGTGGAAATCCTGGACAATGGCCCTTACCAGTGCGTGGTTCAGTACCTCACAGTTACGCAGAACTTAGTTGTGTGTGATGAGCTTGTCACCCTCTTCGTTACAGGTAGGTGGATTGCCCGGGGACGATGATCTCCCAGCACAAGCGGTACGAGAACCGCACGGAGATGGACAGCAGGAACCTCAGCCTGCGGATCTCCCCCGTGGAAATCCTGGACAATGGCCCTTACCAGTGCGTGGTTCAGTACCTCACAGTTACGCAGAACTTAGTTGTGTGTGATGAGCTTGTCACCCTCTTCGTTACAGGTAGGTGGATTGCCCTGCCCCAGCTTCCCAGAGCCAGCCTCCGGGGGTATGAGACACCCCCCCAGGCTTGGGTCAGTGTGTGGCACGTAGACTCGCATCAGGAAGCCTAAAAGGGAGCTGGAAGTTGTGTTAAGGCCCCTGTATTTCCATTCCAGCAGGCTCCCTCCCTGCCTTTCCAAAGCTACCGCAGGCGCAGAGATTAGTCTTTCCCACCATCCTCCCCTCGACACCTCCCTCTCGGGCGAGGACCCCCTGCCAGGCGCCACTGCCGGTGGGTGCCCTGGGCCGTCTCTCCTGTCTTCTGGGCAGAGCAGAGACCAAGCCCTCGCTGCACAGGAAGCATCCAAGACGAAAGAGGAATGGGGCGGCATAGCTCCTCCGCGGCCACAGCGGCATCTCAGCCCCGCATCCAGCCCCTCGGAGCCAAGGCTCTGGGGGGGGCTGCGCTGCAGCTCCACAACCCCAGGCCAAACTCAGCTGGAGAATTGAGGCTTTTTACCTTCCAGAAACAATTTAGGTTCCTTTGCTCAAAACGAATCTGATTCTTTTCTTGGAGGCTACAGAAAGTTCCGTTGACATTATTTTCCATTTCCACCACTGTTTTTGTGGTGGTCGGTTTCAACCAAAGGCAGATATACATATATATAAATATACACATACATTTGAATAACTTTAGCAGCAGAATGTTCCAGGAATCTTCCAGACAGGCCAGCGAATGGCCATTCCCCATATAGAATGAGGTTTGTCAGAAAAAAAAAACCAAACAAAACAAAACAAAACCAAGCTCCTGAGGTTTGGCCATCACCTGCCTGTCTTGAGGGCATGGTGGGCATACGGGCAAGGAGACAAATTTAGTGATCTTTCTGGGAACTGATATGAAAAAAGGGAAGTGCACTGCCAGCACCATCTCTAGCCATGAGGGCTGAGGAGTTAACTGCATGAAAAATGTGAAACAACAGATCTGTTTTCCTCCACCACAAATACTCCAGTTTCTTTCCTTCCAGAAATACCCTTGCTGCTTTCACAGGCCAGCTGTAGTTAACTGTGGTAGACTGCTCCCTTTGGAAAAGTGGGATGGGTTATTGTGGGGATCAGCAAAGGGAAAGCTCCCCTCACCGCTGCTGGAATGCAGAAAGGTGTAACTCCCCGGTGACTGATCAGGGAGCCTGGGTGAAGCCGGCTGGGAGGTTTGGAGGGACTTTCCAGACTGGCTGTCCGTGCTGTATTGCCCAACAGCCAGTGGGCTGGGAAGGAAATCCATGTCTCTCCCTGTCTGCCGCCGGTCAGCCACGCAGCGTTGAGCACTAGTAACCGGGCAGCCTCGACTGTGGGTTTGCGGGCGGCAGAAACCGTGGAAGCAGCGTTAGGCCGGCGAGGTGTGGTGCAGACTGTGGCACTCGCTCTGATCTGACGGAACAGTAACTAAACGTTTCTTGCTTCAGCCGACTTCAGTAAGCCGGACATAACAGCAGAGGTGTCCGCTAATTCTTGCGAATCAACTGAGATGGTGGTAAGGTGTTCTTCTCACGGAGGCTTCCCCAAACCCACAATCTCTGGAGCCCTTGACAACAACATGTCTGTGGACTGGATCACCAGCTGGGTGTCCGAGTCCAGCCTCAGCCCCTACAACGTCACTGGCAAACTGCGGCTCAACGTGACCAAAGACGTCAACATCACTTGCTCCATGGAATACGACGGCCTTGTCAAGTCCGCCAGCTTGCTTCTGGGTAGGTCTTCTTACCCCTTTGTGTCACAAAACCATTTTGTTGGATCTGCTGGGCTGCCTCTTTGAGAAAGCGGAAGGTTTTGTGTACCTGCTCATGCGAGGATGACCCAGTGATCCCGCCTGTGAGCTGCACACCAAAACATTTCCAAGGCTGTCAGACAGCAGAGGTGCGAGAGGATAGCTGCGACCCTGACCGACAAGCGGAGACAGCTCCGTCTTCCTGCTGCTCTGCCGTGAGCCACAGCTGGGCAGAGGGGAAACTGGATCCCGTTGTGATCTGGTGGCTCCCACGGGTTGGGGTCGCCACCATTCAGCCCCCGCCACACCAGCACGGCCTTGCTGCCAGCTGCGGGACACAGACCTGCTACTCGAGCGGAGGGACGCGCGGGCCTTAAAAGCCACCGGCTGCCCTTAAAAAGAGTGTCCTCATTTAACAAGCATGTTCGTTGTTGCTTCAGTGACAGAAACTGTCAGCTGGGGTCTAGACACAATTCTGCTTTCATACACATTTAATATGGGGTTAACTCACACGGAAAAAATCCCAACACTCTGCGTGGCTTAAAAGCGACAACATAATAGATAAGTCTGCGCTTTGAAAAGCTTGAGGCACAAGTGGAAACAGCATGAGGGAAGGCAGCACGCTGCCGTCCAGATGTTTTGCAGTGAAAGGGGATTTGCAAGAAAAACTCTTAAAGCCAAAAGGATTTTTTTTTACTTATTATTTTTAACGTTGTTACCAAAAACGTATTCTGAAACGTCTCCGGGTCTGATGTTTTCACTGTGGAGGTAAGGGCACCTTCAAGGGAAGCTGGAGAAGCGCTGTTTTTCCTAAGGAACTGTACCTTATTCATCAAGGTACCCATCAGACTCAGTAAAACCAAAGGGGCTCGGGAGGAGAGGTGCCATTCAGCTTCAGGATGAATGCCAGAAACTAGCGCTTTCTGGAGATTGGTTATGGCTGGGTGTAGCGCATAATGCCCCTCGAGATGGCAGTGGGGGAAGGTTATGGGTATCGTGCTGCTTAGGAAAGGAGAGCAGCACAAAAAGTAGCAATAGTAATACACTGCTGTCCCACGGATTCGCAGAGGAGGGTGAAATCAACGCTGACAACAGCAGTCACAACCCCCCGCTTTTGGATTTTTAAGATGTGGAATCAGTCCCGTTTTGGTACAATGGAAACGGCCCTCCAACCAAGCCTTCCGTGAACACAGAGTTCCAGACGGAACACAGCCTCTGGCACACAAACCAGAGGCAAACCTACAGCCCCTACAGGGGAGGGGGAGATGGTATGGCGGATCTGGCTGGTGTCTCAGAAGTTGAATGGTGCTTAATTGTGCCAGGTGCAGATGATGAAAATCTGAAAACCTACGAACATGCACCCAGCCTGCCCCTCCAGTTGAATTAGGGTTGTCCTGCACTGTGCAAGAACAGCCCGTTATCCTGATGTCCAAGGGGCAGAATGGTCACCAGGCTCCAGAGCCACTGACACTGAACTCTGTCACAACGCTCCTCTCCTACCAGTCTAAAAAAAGTCTATTCTAGTCTGTTTAATGTATCATCCTCCATCACCTGTGAATTCAGAGGGAAAAAATTAGGCATAAATCTGGTGAAAACAGTAAGAAAGACTGCAGAGTACCTTTGAGAATGGAAGTTTTCCATTCTCAAAGTTTTTCAGACCTTTTCAGACTTGGTGAAAAAGTTTTTCAGACTTTTTCACCAAGCGTAACTAGTTTCTTTAAAACCAGCTTATGTGGTTTTTAAGTATTGCCTGTCTCAGTCCTGGTCTGGACAAAGACCCAGCGTTCCAGATTCTGTGCACGTGTTAGAAATTTCAGCACATGGCAAATGGGGGGTAACGTAAGAAATTATAGGTGCCAGCTCTGCCTGTTTGTTTGTTGAACAGGTAATTTTTTAGGCTGAATATCTGAGTTGGAATTTGGGCAGAACCCGCAAAATTCACATACCTGCTCTTACATGAAAATGCCAGTATGTTCTTGGGCCCTTTATTTATGTCTTATTTCTTCCGTCTCAGAAAAAACAGACGACTGCGTTGTCCCTACTGTGCCTCTGTCTTACAATGTCATTATTGCTACAAGCATCATCATTATCGTCTTCCTCTTGGCTATCACCCTAGCAGCAAGATACCTCCCAAGGCATGGTAAGTGTAGCTCCTTTTGCACGAAACAGTCTCTTACTGCTTATGGAGTTTCTAAGTAAAATACACATTTATAGAAACTGTACTGACACGCTGGCTATTTTCGTACCTTCTTCTCGTTTCCTTTTTTTTTTTTTTACAGTTTTCATCATGCAGCATCTACTGTCGCAGAATCTAAGTCCAGCTCAGGACTTTCCTACATTTTGTGTGCAGGCAACATTAGGGTTGAGGTTTGAGAGTGAAGGGGTGATGGGGAGTTTTGACAGCAGATCAGAATGCCTCCAAAATCAGGGCTATACAGAATTGAAGAGATTCACAAAGGTCCATTTGCATATATTAAGATGCTTGAAGATGCCAAGAAACTTGGTGATCATGCTAGATACAGATGAGCACTGGCAGTTTCAAAATGGGATCCCTCTACACACCCTAGACAATCCCCCAGAAAAGTCACAGAGCCAAAGTGAGGAGAATACATAGCACTAAGGCCACAGAAAGGACTTGAGCATAGCAATGTCCCACTTTTAGGAGAACCCCAATTAGGAAAGATGGATCTGCTTTCTTTGTGTGGCCAAAACCGGCACAGGTGAAGAGCCCTGCCCATCGCTATGAAGACCTGAGTAACTCCAGACGCATCTCCAGGAGTTTTTCAATGGCAAAGGGGACCTCAGGGTTAGCTGGCGGCTGAGTAAATGTTTAGAGGTTATTTGTGGCTCAAAAACATCCCATCTGTTAGCCGTTGTTCCTAGTCACGTCTAAGTGACCTAGCCAGGAAGGCTGTGAAGGTGTGGGCTTACGAAGGCAGCTGGGCATCCAGCCAGCGCTGAAAGGGGAGAGCGGTAGATGTCCTCTCCCCACCCTGCGAGCAGGTTTGAAAAGCAGGGCTGGGTAAAGACGGCAGGCCTTGCAACATGTTAGAAATACCACCCAATCATCGAGTTCTGTCAGGTCACTGAGGAAGTCAAGGCCGGAGACAAGAATCCCACACTGAGAGTGCCCTGTGTTCAGCCCACCCAAACCAGAAGTGACCGGTCTGTCCCACTCACAGCGGTCTCCCCCGCTGGAAGGAGGTGATTTGCTAGGCACCAGGGACTCCGTTGACTCAGGGGCACGCGTAAGCGTAAGTTTGCCGTGCTTGTGTCTTCTACCACCCCTGTTTCAGCTACAGGTCAGTTCACTCCCACGTCCGAGGGGAGGGGGACCCATTACTCCCCGCTGGAAGGAGGTGATTTGCTAGGCACCAGGGACTCAGTTGACTCAGGGGCACGCGTAAGTTTGCCGTGCTTGTGTCTTCTACCACCCCTGTTTCAGCTACAGGTCAGTTCACTCCCACGTCAGAGGTGTGGGGGTCCCATTACTATTTTTCTTCTCCCCTTCTCGCCAACCACATCCCTTCAGAAACCACTGTGACCACGGAGTCGGGTGGGATAATTTTCTTTTTGGTGTTTTATCACGAAGAAAGGAAGTTTCTGGAAGGCAGCGACTCTTGTGCACCTCCTCATTTTCCACTCATGTGCTCCTATGGCACCGGTGCTGGTTCTCCACTGCTGTTTCCCGGGGCTATGGAAAGCAGCAAGCAGGTTGAAACCGAGAAAAAACAGAGAAAATGAACGGGAATTGGAAGATTTGGCTCGAAACAAATATAGGCTGGAAATTAAAAGGTTCCTTACCATTAAATTAGTAAGATTCCGGAGCATTCTGAGACAGCCTTTTATATAGAAGCCGGGCTGCTTCTAAAGCAGATGTAAAAAGCATAGCAATGTGGTAGAATGCGATCACCTGCACCAGCATGGGACACGGCTGCATAAACCGGAACTTCCCTCGCGGTCCCACGTTCCCAATATGCGCGGGGAATAGATTTGCCAAGTCAGGTGGCGCAGTTTCCTACAGCCGCCTTCCAGACCAGGCGTATACTGTGAGAAACTGAAGCCAGAGCTTCAGTCCAACATCCCAGTTTGTACCGTTGTCACATTTCGGTGCTGCTGCGCGTTGCCACCTGCCCGGAAGGGAGCCCTCTGTCCTACGAATGCTCCCTGTTGGTGTTGCTACAGGCCCCTTCTCCAGAGCTACCATGGGAGCTGGAGAGTACCTGCGTCGTCCTGCCCTACGGGAAGCTGAGCGGGGAGCTGCCGTGCCGCTGAGTGGTTTCTGAGCTCAAAAACCCCGTGCTTCGCAGAGCTGAAGTGTGGGAGGGAAGGAAGATAGAGCAAATCAGGAGTAAGAGTTCTCAAATGCGTGCTTGCGGTGGTGACCACAACATACAGATGCCTTGCTGAGGTTCGCAGCGTTGAGGAACTCACATCCTACCTTTGCAGTAATTTAAGAATAAAAACACTCTAGATTTTTTAATTTTTTGTCTTCATTTAACACAAAGCACCAAGATTAGACCAAGATTGGAGTATACGTTACGAATAGCGTAGAATCCGTGTTGTACAGTCTGAGTAAGTACAGTTTGCTGTAACAGTACAGCGAGATTCAACTTGAATTATTAAAACACAAGTCATTCAGAGATGCTGAGGTACTAAGGGGACCTGTTTAGCCTGAACTCCTTCTGAAGCACTCCAAGAGCTGTTCAGCTGGTTCCAACACCAGCGTTCTTTCACGTGCCTGGCGAACTGCACTTCATGACGTGCACCTTTTACCATTATTTCCCTTCTGACCTCACCTTAGCCCGTGGCAATCTGTCAGTGCCAGGCTGAGGTCGTAGCCCTGTGCTAAAGAGAACTGGTTTATCCATATGACACTGTATAGATAACACTTATGTACAACAGAGCTTTATCAGATCAGACTATGGCTATGGGCCAGCCGCACTCGGATGTACTGCAGGGATAGGTCCTGGCAAGGAAAAACAGAAGTAACCAGACCGAAAAGATTTCTTTTTTCTTTCATTTCTTCTCTCCTGTCTTCCCACTCTCAGTTATACTTCACTTCGTCAAAGACATTTGGATTCAGCGCTCTTAGGTCTTCTGGGGTTCCAAACACTAACGGGGAATCTTCTTTTTACTTCACTTGGTCAAAGACAACATTTGGATTCAGCGCTCTTAGGTCTTCTGGGGTTCCAAACACTAACGGGGAATCTTCTTTTTCAGTCTGCTCCCACTGTTGCAAGCGGCAGGATTCCACGGGAGAGGGTGTGAAAGAATGTACGAAGACAACCGTGAGGTATAAAGTGACATCTGAAACATCGTCTGTATGACCAGGTCACATTTGCAGGTAGTTTTCTTCCCCATTCTTCTCTTGGCAAAACAGCTCCTCAGATACTGTCAGATCCTCACGCGACGTTAGCTCACAAACCCATGAATGGCTTTTAACATGAGCGAGCGCCATCCATCAGGGCAAATAAAGCGGAAGGGCCCTGCTGCCAACCCAGACACGCAGTGTGTCCCATCAGGTAACTGGAGGGATGATGCTCACATTGTCCGTGGGGCGTTACTTCGTTTGTTAGAGGACCGAAATTCCTGGGTGCTCAGCTGCTTCCTCCGCAGAACGGGCCCTGCGTGGATGGCATGCAAGTTTTTGTGGCGTTCATTTCCTTAATTAACATACTTTTTTAGGGACTGAATGGGGATGAAGAGAGATGAAAGAAAAGGCACATTGGCCAGCTTGGAAGGTCAGTGTCTCCCCCTAACCTGTGTAAGGAAGCTGGTTAGTATCTGAGAGGGGGGCTTGTAGCACGGTGTGCTGGGTTCAGTCAGGAAAGATTCAATTAGTAAGTAGTTCTTATCTCGATTTTACGAGCTTCCTTATTTCTTTTACCTCCGATTCTTCCCCTCTGCTGGAGGAGGGGAGGGGGATTTGTGAGAGCGGCTTTGTGGCATTTTGCTAGCCGGAGTTAAACAACGACACGCGGTCATCCATCTGCCAGGATCTGCAGTGACATCCCCTGCCACTGCCCCTCTGCTCGTTTTATGGCCCCCCCCAGCTACAAACTGGGCAGTCTTCTAGTTCCTGTCCTGTTGGACTTGCAAGGCTCATCACTACTGTGGGTCCCACACGCGGTTCCATTCCCCAGAGGGTATTTCTCACGGATGCTGTGTGAGCCACATGCCCGACCTGACGCATGAACGTGGGAACATCACTGATGATGGAAATGAAGGACTGAGCAAATGGTGGTGAGGGAGAGGTGAACGACAAGAGAACAATGCCAGCCTTCCCAGTAAGATTAGATATCCCCACTCCTTCAGCAGCTTGAGGAATGGAGAGGTTTTCTCCCTGAGACTTGCCCAGGAAATGCTCTATGAAAGGAGTTACTTTGGAGAAGGTGTTGTGATGAAGGGGCTGGGGAGAAGCCTGGCTTACCAGGGTTTCAGGACCACGACGTACAATATTCACTTTGGCTTGGAAGCTCGGCTGTGTTCAGGGCTGGATCCTCCAAAAAGACATTTTTCGAGCCAGGAGACTTAAGGAAGGATTAGGAGCTAACTGTTCTTGCTCGCATCACTATCCAGGTGACTGCGTTTCCTGCTCTCCCTACAGCCTGCTGAAACGCTGTAGCGCAACAACCATAGAGCCATGGATTTGTCACGCCGAGCGGTGCAGTAATCTAAAAACTTAACGTTTTGGTGAGGGAAAGGAGGGGAAACTATCATTCAGGCCACTTGTCTCATTTCCAAACCTGACCACCCACTCATGTTTTCCTGCGGGGAAGGCCCTATCTGGAACAGATACCAGAGCCCTGGTTAGCATGAATTCTGGGGGGTTTTGTGATGGGAGTGGTGGGAGTTCACCTACCGAATAAATCCATTCTGCCACATTCCTCTTTTGCTGTAGACGTTTGCCAGGCTTTTTCTGTAAGCGGCTGGTGTTTCCCAGCTCCGGTGCCCGGAGCGGTGGCTGGCTGTGGACAGGGATGGATGGAAGCTGTGCTTCCTCAGTGGCTGTCATCTCATCGCTGTGCCACATGCCGCGCCGTGTCCCGCTGCTGCTGAAACGGGGCGGCACGTTCCCGAGTCACTTGGCAGAGGGATAGCACCTCTCTACGGTCCAAAGGCTTTCGCAGCAGGCGTCGAGCCGGTCTGCTGCTCGTCCCAGTGCCCGTCTTGGGCTGCCGGGCTCTGCACAGCTCTGTCTTTGCTGGAATGGGAGCCCTCTCCTGGAGGGCTAACGCAGGTGATCCCTGTCCGCCCCGGCTCTGCAACGGTCTGGCTTACATTTAGGATTAAGGAGAAGGTGGGGGAAATCAGTAAAACCTTTTCTTTGTGTCCCTCAGGTTTTTCATCCTGTGCATCCCGCACTGCAGTCCCCACTTGTACAGCCATGCTTACTGTGTTCACCCTTCGGCGCTCTGAAAGGCGGCAGCAGAAAACGCCTCATGAAGACTGACAACACAATCTGTGTGAACAAATACAATGTCCCCCCACACACCAGAGAAGCTGGAGGGTGGTCTTGCTACAAAGGCGGTGCTGGAATTCCAATTGGGAGGACCCTCCGCGCTCCCACAACCGAGCAGAAGAGTGTTGCCAGCATCGACACACCCGTTGAAGAGTTTGGGATGCTCTGGCTTTGATGCTGCCTCTATGAGAATCCAGGGGCCTGCAGAGCCCGAGCAGGTCGCCCACGCCCACCTACCCCTTTGGGAATGCAGAGCTGGCCTTTGGGAGGCCCCAACATGCAATCCCGAGTCAGGCTGGGCCTCCACGGTGCGACCGGGAGCAGCTAAAACTTCTTCTGTGTTCCACCTCGCGTGGGTATCTGCCAGCGCTTCGTGCTGGAAGACTTTGGATTTGGACCTGACCATTACAGGTACATGTCCCTTCTCCCCTAAAGAGGCAACAGTGCACATGATTTCCGTGAAAAAGCACCTTGAGGTGGGACTACATGGCTCACGCCTCTTTTCACTGCTCCGGGACTTTTTAGGGAATGACACATACCGACGGCACGCCTAACAGCTAACTAATACTGCTTGCCTGCAGCAGCGGCCGAAGTCCTTGTACCCTTTCTCCCCTGAAAGGATGGCCTCGCCAACCCAGGTCCCACGATGCAGCTCCTCCATCAAATCACCCGGAGATGGAGGAGCGCATCCCGCCCAGCGCAGCCCGCGAGTGCGCGCACACAGGTACGCGCCATTACCTGCCTTCCTTCCTACCCGCGCCTGTGAAGCCCCATTTGAATTTCTGTAACACACGGCGGTTACCTCGCGTGGATCTGCTGTAAGGAAATGTCACTCAGGGCCTTGATTCGTACGCACGGGTCTGCTTCCGTCTGTACGCCTGCCTAGGAATACCCGGTAGGGTAAGGCTCTCCAGATTCTCAGAAGCCGCTCACAGCAACACAGGGATTTACTCTGCGTCGGATGCTGCTGCTTTCTGCCAGCGTTCTCTCTACCCAGCCGGGACCTGAAGGAAGGTCCCTACAGGATGCTAACATGGGACAGGACTCATCTGATCTGGGTGATATTCTTGCCTACTGTGTAGGAAAAAGTGGTTTCTCATTTTGAAGGGAAAAGAAGAAAAAGCCCCAAGCACCAACAGGCTTCCTAAGCGACTCTGCGTACTAACCTAGCTCAGCCCTGCCCTGAGTCTGAAAGGTTTCTTCTTCCCTTTCGCTCCGACCCCCATTCCCTTACTGCTCTATCCCTCTGTGTCGTTAGCAGGGCAGCCCAAAGTCTGAAAGCCCCACGCATGGCCTCTTTATGGGATGTTCCATTGCTGGGGCTGCTTACCTTGTTAGGACGCGGCAAAGAAATTCCCCATCCGCTTCCCTTTTTTTCTAGCAGGTACACACTGAGACAGAAACTGCTGGAGGGCTAAAAGCGGTTTATAGAGGATTGAGCTATGAGGGGGAGGGATGGAGTTGCTGTCAAAAGTAAGACACCGCTCCCTTTCTACTCCTGCAGAGCCTTGCTGCTCCGTCAGCTTTCCTACTGCCTTCCCACTGTATGAAATGAAACGGGAACCTCATAACATTCTCAGGAAGGGGGTTTTGACAGACAGGAGGTAAGGTGGGCAATGAGGAAACAACACTCCTTGCACTCCAGCATTCTGGTTGCAAGCACAGCAGGCAGGTGACACGGAAGGCAGCGTTTCCCAAAGGCAGCCTGACCTTACTGCAGGAGTTGCCGCGTGGGCAGTGGTGTCTCATGCTTCTCACGTTTCGTTTTCAGCCCATGCTTGTCCTTTTCCAGCACAAACTACCAGCTTCTTGCGGGCTGAACGCCCTCTTTTTCTATTTACTTCGCTCATTTTCAGTATCGTGCTTCCTTCCCTGCTGTAACCACGGTGCGTTTCCACATTACCAACCCCACCACAGCTCTGACAGCTCTACCGGCACAGCGTTTTTCCTCTCGACGACCCCATGCTCTCCTTCTGCTCCTGACTGACGACTGCACAGCCTCCCGGAGAAGGGTCTGGCTTTTGCACCGTGCCTTTCTACGTCGCAACAGACTCCTGTGACACTTTAAGTAACTCCTTCCAAAGGAAACAAAAACCTTCACTGACAAACCTTTCTAGCACCAGTTTGGGTTTATATTCTCGAAGGGTGGGTTGTCTGGTTGATTTTTTTTCCTTAAGCTCTGATACTAGGAATCATGTTTTCTATTGCTTTATGCAGCGAATTGCACACAAATGGTTTCTGTGAGACCTTTTCAGCTTAATATCCAGGTCTTTGTACCACGTGAGCTGCTCTGTTTATCACACGTTATTTTGTATATACCATTTTTTTTCCCCGGGGTTCCTCCTTTAACTGTATTAAAAAATAAACGGTAAACTCAGTTTCCGCAGTACTACGAGATGTCAGTTTGACGTGCTGGGAGGTGGTAGAGCCCTTCAATTCTTCACCTGTGCCCCGGGCGCCGGGCTAGGTGCCGTAGCTGGCTGGCGAGGCTGCAAGGGGCACAGCTCGGCCTGGCGCGCTCAGCAGCGATGGCAAGACGGCGCTCAGGCACCCGCCTGTAACTTCCACACATCTCCCCGCCCGCCAGTGCGTCGGGGGTTGCCCGAGCGGGGCAGCTGGGGTGAGCGACACTCGCTCAGCTTGCAACAGGTCTGCCTTCTCCCTCCCGGAAAGGCAAAGCAAAGCCCAGTGCCAGATGTTCCCAGCATATCCCTGCTACTCGCCTTACCTGCCCTGGAAGCGGAGGACTGCGGACTTCAGGGCTGTGCTTTTGCTGGCGGCGAGTGAAGAATCCCTCACATCTGCGTTTGAAAAATAAGCTCCAAACCCACTCCTCACTCCCCCTGTGGACAGTGACTTTCACTA